ATAATGGAGTTTCACAACCCGTTTTACGTGAAGTGGCGGCGTAAAACTCCGTGAAAAACGCGTTATTCGCGGTGATATGCAGTAGTCGTGAAATATGTTTTTCATATCACTAGGGTGGTGGTGAAATCTATGAGCTCACAAGAGATGCATGGAGAACCACTAAGATATATAACCCCCCAACTCCTACGTCTATAAGACTTCTTTATCTGCTCCTGCGTTGCCGTAGGGCTAATCTTGAGAATCTCATATAAGTTGAATCTACAACAACATACCACATCTCCGCGAGGATGCACTTTCTACTTAAACACTCAGGAATAACTCCTATCCTTTTCAAATTGACAAATTCACGACTAGATAAGAAGCAATTAAATATAAACTGAGTACCGCCTTGGGAGTCCTCAACAGTAGCCTTCTGAGAAGCACACTTCCCAAGAGGCTCCATTTTTCACATATTTTTTCCACAGCATTTTTGATGCACAAAATCAAATAAGATATTATTACACTACTAGTGTGTTAGAATGATACTACTAACTAGATACTACTCACTGGAGTTTCACAACAACCCGTTTTACGCGAAGTGGCGTAATACTCTGCGAAAAACGCGATATTCGCGGTGATATGCATTAGTCGTGAAATGTGTTTACCATATCACTAGGGTGGTGAAACTCCACTATTCACCATAGCCGACTGATCATAAGTGAGAGTAGTATTATACAAAATCGAGAGCTGCAATAAGGAGGAGTTACTCTAGCCTTTAGTGTGTGGATCCTTAGTACCCATCAAGAACCTTGTTTAACTTCAGCTGCTCCCCGACGGGCTTCTTGGTCTTCCTTTTGGCTGACCAACCAGTTCGGCTCGACGGTTCTTCGCTGGTGCCTAATGATGCGAAAAATTCACTTACTGATACCATAACAAACTGAAATAAAGCGAAATTATAGGAAGCAGGGGTGTGTGGAAATACTAATACCATCTGCGTATGCCCGAATGCCAAACCAAGCTCTAAAATAGACTTTTTTAGTACATCAATTTCACCATCGTCGTATCGAACAAATCCCCTGTCGAAATGCTTACTTTCAGCGCTAGATTCCGGAGTGTCTGAGTTCTCCTTATGAGCTCTCCTCCGTTCACTTCGACTCAGCCGAGGCTTCTCCCAGACACGATGGAAACTAATTATGCATATGGTCAATTACATGTGAAAATTTTGAGAAAATTTTTGTTATTTTTTCGCATCACTTCTACCCACATATAAATTCCTACGATTAGTGAAAAAGCTCCTGCTGAGCTCAGCTGAGGAAAGCAAACATATATATTTTAAAACAGCTTCAAACTGATACTCACCTTCTCCCAGCAGGTTCGACCCGTCTTGTCCGAAAACATATCGTGTCTATGACCTCATCACTGAAGTCTAGAGGCACTGGAGGAAGGGCAAGTAGGAGGGAGGGTAGGTGTCCAAGGACCATATCGGACAAGGAAAGATAACGTAATCTGATGATGATGTCGGTAGGGGAAGGCCATCAGCCTCATCAGAGCTCGACACTCGAATGGGAGTTCCTAACGCGGTGTGGAAGAGGTAGCACCCCAAGTAACGACTGTACATATCTAATTTCGATAGTAGTAATATATCCTTGCTCAGTAGAAGAAGTATTAGTATAAAGTCGCCTATAGACTTCGTAGCGATAGGTCGTCGGTTCGATTCCCACAGCCTGCATTTTTCCATCATATTTAGGACAACTTTCTCGAATAAGTTATTTTGCCAAGTAGTAGTGCCCCTAATGGTCCTTCCCATGCCCTCACGAGACGCCTCCAACTCCCTCGCCCTTCCTCAGGGGAAGGCAGTGGTCACTTTGCGATATTGCGTCATCACTCTATGGGTCCTCGTTCCCTTCCGATTTGTATTACTAATGGAGGTACTCATTTTAGTATAGGTTTTCGATCAGGTAACTAGCGGTTGGAGGATCCTAGACCTTATTGGTATCCTCTTGTTGAGTATTATCGGTACGGTACTCCTTCGAGAGGATCCTGTGATGAGGCCCTTCTCAGAACGCCTATTGGCATGCTTAGGCGAGGTAGTAGTAGTAGTAGTAGTAGTAGTAGTAGTAGTAGTAGTAGTAGTAGTAGTAGTAGTATTCCTTTTGCTACTCAGTCCTGTGGTCCCGGCGGCAGTATGTGTCTGATGCCCTTTGGGATGATATGTGGTATTAGCTGCATCTTCGACCTGTTAACCTTCATCACTGTCCTCACCAAGACGATCTCCTACTCCTTCACTGGCATGCCTCTATTCGCCACTCTGGTCTTTGGCATCAGCGTCATCACGGAGGTAGTAATAACAACAACATCAACCATTTACGCCCAAATTCATCATTTTACTATAGGAATATTTTTATATATATGTATAGTTATTCATCATTCTAGGTCTCGCTTTACTCATTCACTCCACTACTTTTCGCTCTAAATATCCAGTCATGAATTAGAGCCTTACCATAAATCCGACATTTCGAGAATCCCTTTAGGCCATCGCGGCTTACAACGTCTACCTCGTAATGAGTATATTACAAGGCGAACAACAACAGCAGCAAAGCGAGTCCTCTCGACCCCCTCCCTTTGCCCAGCCGCTATACACAGCTCAGTACCACTGTTAAATCGATCAAAAACCTTTAGGAGCATGTCAGGTACAGACCGCAACAACAAGAGGGTGACGAGGAAGCGGCCCATGAGGGTCATCCCGCTGGGGGAGCCTTCGTGCCCTTCCAAGGCTCTGGCACTAGACTGGGGGAGTAGTAGCAGTATAATGACTCTTTTTACATGGTTTCGAAATATTTTCAATATACTCGTGAAGTGCGGTGTTGTACGAAAGATCCCTCCATTACTTCTATAACCACGATGGAAATATCCTTCCGGCTGCGCAAAACGGGTAACGTCGTGGTTGAGGCTCCTCTCCTTACTATCTAGGCTGGGTTGAAATTGGAGTATATGAATACGATCACACCAACGCCTCCATCCGGGGCATCATAAACATCTCTTTGGCAGAAGCGTCGGTGCTCCCCTATCATGTTTCGTCGTTCATTCGAACGAAAGAGTTACTATTCACGCGCATAACTACACCATTTCCCGTGCAAGTTTGACAAGTGAGCAGACAAGAATGACAATGTTACCATCAAGAGTGGCAATGAGAATCCAAGTTTGTCACAATTCAATTCTGTTACAATCAAGTTTGACTCTGAGAATTCAAGTATGTCACAATCGAGATATGTTACCATCAAGATTGACAATGAAAATCCAAGTTTTTCAAAGTTCAGTTGTATTACAATCAAGTTTGACACTGAGAATTCATGTTTGACACCGGCAGAATATATCACAGTCAAGAATGACAATAAACCATACAAGTTTGACAATACGCATCCAAGTCTGACACTTCAACTCGACATGTTGACATTCGGTTTAAACTGATTGTCCACTTGAGAATCACACGCATTACATAGTCTTGTCTGCTCACTTGTCAAACTCGCACGGGAAATGGTGTACACTGACCACCGCTCCTCGACTAGTATGGAGGGCTCGACACAGATTTTAGAGACGAGGAACTAGCTGTGGGGATGGTAGAGAGGGCACTAGCTTGTGATCCAGTTATAAAGATGATCATTAAGTTCACCTTGTGCATATTATCCCACACTGGAGTCAACACAAGTCCATACCGAGCACCGAAAGTTGGTATAAATGGTAAGAACGAAGTAGTAGTAATAGGAATGTACAAAGAAGAGGAAATAGAAACAGTATTAGACGGCGAAACCCGAGTTCACTGGATGATAATCTCGGAACAGCTTGCAAACAAATTTTCTCAAGGTAAATCTTATCGACCCCGGTCGACCTTGGGTGAAGGATTCCGTCCGACTCCTTCCACGAGGAGCACTACTACTCCTACCACTTCCACGATTGCGCACAGCGAAGAATATCTTTGCTACAATAAAGACGATAATGCCCATAACAAAGATACGGAATAGGTCCATGAAGAGCAACCACGGCATCGACAACACCTCCGGGGACCTCAGCCGTGTGATTCCAATCATACCGCTCCTCCGTGAACTTTCAATCGGTGTCGGGGATGGCTCCAACTCCGTTGGCAGGAACCAAAGCCTAGCGTCCCCTCCAACCACCTCCCGATGGCAATCGTGTTGGTTATATACATAACAAGAGCCCGCTAGCTCCGGCTCGTGTTCAAGCCACTTGAATATAGAATAGTGGCCCGACCAAGCCAGATACTTACACTGAGCCAGTGTGACACGTTCCCTCTTGAAAGCTGGTGAGCTCACACAGTCAGTAGTGCCTTCCAAGGCTACCCACTGTCGCATTGGTAGGAAGAAAATAGACGGCAACATAGAAGAGTCTACTTCTTCACTCAAACTGTCAACGGCAGCGGGGACGACCGACTTCGGGTCGCCGCATTCAAATTCGTCATAGTCGTATCCATCACTACCCCGACACACCATGCACCTTTCAAAAGATACTTCTCAAGGCCGATGAGCAAATACATTACCTATTCTCCTCCAATGATGAAGACGGCCTCCAGTCGAATTGAATGCCGCAAACGCCAGAACGTGTGTCGCTATGGTCGGGAAGTAAATCATAGGTTCGTAATATATGGTTGGAGAACTCCGGGGCCCATTGTAGTGGCGTTAACGCATACCTATCCGAGACGATGTGGCCGAGGTGTGGTATGACACTTACTCATTCTGAAGGTCCTCCCCACCCAACCACATAGGAGAATAACACATGTTGTTGACTGGGATCACTTTCTCTGCCAGAGGAGATATCTAACATACCTTGGAAGTAAGATACGGAATAGGTCCGAAATAGTACCGTATTCGAAAGAGAGGAAACCCAACAATCGTCGCCAAACAACTCCATCCTTCTCTGGCGTACCCGATGAAGGAACGGTGGGACGTAATGGTCAATTACTAAATCACGGCCACCCCTGAGAGGAATCAAGTCGTCTACTCCAGCGAAAAGATATTTTCGTGCCAAAATACTGCACGAGCGATATTATAGTTCAGCAGAGAAACATAAAATCTCCGGATGGTGCCTCGTCTCCACCCAACGACCAGAACTTACAGATCGTTGATGGTGTCAACGCAGTCTAATGCACAGCCACACTCGGGAGCTGCAAACCCCACAGGCATGTCGATTCGGCGGTAACTGGGAAAAAGAGGAAGAGGATGGTGGTAAAGGTAGTAGTAGTTGTTATTACTCCAACGCCATAAGCCATGCTCCGACTCCGACATCTTCATGTGTCCATGACTTTAGCTGTAAGGGTGGATGGGCTAAGTATTTAGCGAGGTCATACGATATAACATAACCACCTCCTGAAGGGACTATAAAGATGAGTAACATCTTATTATTACTACCTTGGGCATTCCATGGATACTGAGTAAGGCCCGTCATCTTGGTGAACTCACCATCGAACCTACGACAAACCATAACGACTACTACCGCGTGTGCGATGCGCTCTAGCAGGACTTATACGACACGTGGTATTTTCATCTTGACGTGTATCACAAGCATGAAACTACGGCGCACGCGTTCATCCCAGATAAACCCTGGGGCACGAGCTATGATATTTTCGATTACGAAGCCTCTCAGTGGGGCAATGAGTAATAGAAGTCGTTAACGGACCAAGCGACAACACAACACGGTGAGCCGAACAACAGGCTAGCTCAATTATCCAACCAGTTCTGAACCACCTTGACAGATCCAGCAAGGATGTAACCATGTGGAACAGTGATACCGCACTTATCCAACAGTGATAGTGTTGGGAAGACATGAGTCTGAAGCACCGGCTTCCAAGCGGCACCTAGTTACTAGCGTAGAATGAGCGAAACTTCTCACGACAGTGTTGTCAAGTCCTTGTGGAGCATTCGAATATGATACTAGAGAAACACTTTTTACAGACCACAGACCAATTATAACCGAATTGCTTGACACCGGCCACCAGAGACGGCCATCTCAACTATAGTACCGCATCTGCCTTGATTATTCTCTGTCAACAAACCTCACCAGTCCTTGGTTTGTCTGTCTGTAACCTTGAGCCGCAGAGATGCCCTACTTGTGGGACAAGATTGTGTAACGGGCATCCATTGCGGGAAGGTATATCTCCCGTCCTAGTATAATGCCTATCCTCGGCGGATTGGTAGCACCGAGTGGTGCGGCACCTCTAGCGCTTGGGGGACCAGTTGCAATACAGGCCAGATAGTAGTCACACTCACAGGCCTTGGCGCAAGGTAGCGCACAGTCTAGGAGGCCGCCAGCTCCCGCAAGATGTGACCAAATGATGTTTCCGGGGCTCCAATCGGCACCTGCACTATCCCATCCCATATTAACGAATCTGTCCCCTTCCTTAGATGAGCTGCAGCCATCCCGCGGTCGAATATCACCTTAACCACGAAGCCTGGTGCCCCAGCGGCGAGAAGGTCAGAGCTAAGGCCAGCATACACAACTAACCGATTGCCACTCAATGAGAAGCGAACCATGGGTAGATAGTCAGCCTCACCCTGACGGAGCTCAATTACGATGGCGGCTCCCTCGGAAGATGGCCCTCCACCACATTGGGGGTCCAGCCAGTCTCTTTACCCGAGGATTCACATCCAAGCTGATCATATGGGTTGCAAATGACATTGGCAATAGGCCAGTTTATTGACCGGGAACCCGACCGGCACGCTCCAAAGATGGTGGCTCATGGAAGAAGGTCTACGGCTGGCATTTTGTGCTACGAGTGAAGTCCGCACAAGTCGAGCAGCTCAGATACTGTTATGACTGCTTTAACTGTTGGCCGGGTCACTATCATGATGAGGCGATTGCAACGTGATGATAAGGGAGTAACAGGAAAGTTGCCAACTTCAAGTTGGAACGTTTCCGGTGCGTGAAAAAAGAAGATAATGGGTGACAGAGTACAAGCCGAGAGTCGGTCGCGTCACCCTTCAGGTGACGCTTACCTCAAACCCCGCCACTGGACTCGTGTAATCAAAAGAAGTAAATAAACTCAATTTATATACTATTGTTGTTCACAGTTTATCAAAGTGATCGAATCATCGAGTGAAACTGCCGAGTCGCACAGCACCGCATTGAACCCACTTCTACTATTATCATTACCATTTATGGTCCTTATCCTCAGGTTCCCACATCACTGGTGCATGCCGAAAGGACCCTGCATACACTGGATCACCATTCCACATATTCTCCTTATCAAAGAAATCCAATAACCTGCAATAACCACTCCCCTTTCTTGCCATACCACACTTCCCTCACTTCTCAACATGTACGTAGCTGTCCGTATCCGCCTTCAGTACAAGACGGAACCTATAAGAAACAGTAGAGGTCCGGAAGAGGAACAGGATACGCCCGCCTAGTTACTACCGGCCTAACCGATCCACCGCCTCTCTGAACGATAAGCGAACCTTGGTGCCGAGAGCATCGTAGCGATCAACAAAGTCGGACGGTAGGGTGATGATATCATCTGAGATGATGTGGCGGAGGAGTGGTATGATAATGATGATAGTGGTGGTTGGATTATTACCGAATTGCTTCATCTCGGCCATAGCTGTATCCCTAGTGGAGTTATCTGGATAATGTGCACCAACAGTGAATAGTAATTTAATGCTTCGTAGACCAACATGGTTATTCTGATGATGATGATTAGCATTAATACTATTGCCACTACTACTACCTGCTCATGTCCCCTCAATTGCCGAGCCCATCCATCTCTAACAGCACACCTCCTCGAGAACTCCGTAATATGGCTCGGTATTACTATAACCAAATCCCAATCATACGTCTGTCCTCCATCACCCTTTAATATGGTATTCCCTTCAAAGGCGGACTGTTGTTGTTGCTCTTGTACAGCAACACAAAGATTGGTAAGTAATAATAGTAATAGAAACAAACGACTATGACAACCGACGAGGCGGTCAGCCATTGCGAGGGACAAAGGAACCACTAATATACCACACCTTCGCCATCTCTTCTTATCATAACGCAAGTGGCATACGACTGAGACACTCCTGACCAGCGACTGACGATATACAAGAGAGACCACAACCAGCAACGAGCAACACTTCAGCTGTTGGAGAATAGGAGTAGTAGTAGTAGACTTAGGGGTTATACCTCCATAGTAGTACGTAGACAGAAAGATGCTATTAAGGAGAATGACGACCAGTGATGGTCACAGGAGATGTAACTATTATTATCATGATGATGATGAAGCACTGAAGGATAGCTATGATGGGGTTGTTAGTTGAAGCACATACACAGATGCACTACAAATTAAAGTAACTACGACGACTAGTATACAAATCCCACGACGAAGGCACGAAATATCTTGAGGGTATGCGTGGTAAGATACGGAATATGCCCGCTTTGTGGACAGCATCATAGACAGGATAGAAAGGTGATAGTCTGCCCAGCATAGGAACAATGACCGTCAACATAGCTGCAGTTATCCCAGCCAAGCCGACCCCGACGAGTAACAGCGTCACAGTCTTCAAACATGAGTAAGTACACTTACTGCTACCGGCATTTCGTCGAATTTGGACTGCTGCTATAGACGACTCCACAGGTAGTCGTTGGTGACGCTCATCACGACGGAAGAAGATCTCCGTCCCTTCGTCTCTGCTGGCGGCAAGTCCTTCTTGTGTCGTCGTTGTCTCCCCACTATACACCCGACACACTCCTCGAGCACCTTCGTCACCATCAGGAGTCCAACCTATCACTGCTGCTGCTGTTACGCCGACGCTCCTCCTCCCAGTCTGCGGGTATCTCCCCAACTCTTTGCATTGGGACAGTGTAAGTCCTGTCCGTACCAACCAAGGGACGTGGCGAGTAGTAGAGGAGGAGTTCACATCCACCCGAATCCATTCCTCATCATCATCACTAACAGTTCGATGAGGAGCACACTCTAGTTGGTCATAAAGACATCCATCGCTACCACGACATACCATCATATCGGACCTGATAACGCCACAAACCCATCCACCCAGGTTCGAACCCTGGCCCCGTCACTATTACTCATCTCGTCCCATAAAAGGGACGCTACCTCTACTGAGGAAGTGACTCGCCGTAACGTTATCATCGGCGGTGGGAGGCCCCCAGGCAAAGTCAATAGCGCACACACCCGATCGAGTATCCGAGTGGTCATCCAGGAGAGCCTCCTCCCCGAACGCCATCAACGGGCTGAAATGGTACCTGGACGACGATGGTATGGTACTGACAACTACAGAGTTAATGTTTCACACGAGGCATATCCTAGGTTCAACAGTGGAAGATTCAAAATAGGCCCGTTTCAATACACCTACCGATGGTTGAGTACCCCCATCACAGTGGGAGGATAAGCTCGTCTATCACCCAGCAACACGTCTGACGGCAGCACAGCCTGGCAAACATGTCTCTAGTCCCCTCCTCTCACTACTACTACTACTACTACTACTACTACTACTACTACTACTACTACTACTACTACTACTGCTACTGCTACTACTACTACTACTACTACTACTACTACTACTACTACTACTACTACTACTACTACTGCTACTACTACTACTACTACTACTACTACTACTACTACTACTACTACTACTACTGCTACTGCTACTACTGCTACTGCTACTGCTACTGCTACTGCTACTGCTACTGCTACTGCTACTGCTACTGCTACTGCTACTGCTACTACTACTACTACTACTACTACTACTGCTACTGCTACTGCTACTGCTACTGCTACTGCTACTGCTACTAGTACATCATTCTTCTCAGGAGTCCAACAAGAATCACCGAATAATTCGTATCGTCGTTCTCGCCAACGTTGAAGATATTCTGGTACGTAATGGTCGATCACGGGCTCCCTACGACAGCAACCCTCAATTTCGTGGCGCGCGGTAAAATCCTAGATAGTACGTTATGCTGGACCCAGACCAACACTCAGCTCCACAGCCGCACTCCGGCTCGGCGAAGTTGACAGGCATGTCGATTCGTTCATGGCTGAGGGAGAAGATGGTGGTAGAGGTAGTAGTTATTATTACTCCAACGCCATAAGCCATGCTCCAACTCCGACATCTTCATGGGTCCATGACTTTAGCTGCAAGGGCGGATGGGCTAGGTATTTAGCGAGGTCATATGATATAACATAACCACCTCCTGAAGGGAATATAAAGAGGAGTAACATCTTATTATTACTACCTTGGGCATTCCATGGATACTGAGTAAGGCCCGTCATCTTGGTGAACTCACCATCGAACCTACAACTAACCATTACGACTACTACTACCTACTACTATCATTACCATTTATGATCCTTATTCTGAGGTTCCCACATGACTGGTGCATGTCGAAAGGACCCTGCATAGACCCTCTCCTTATTCCACATGTCATGCTGATCCAAGAAGTCTAAGAGTCTATCCACATGGACGTAGCTATCCGTATCGGCCTTCAGGAGCAAACGGAACCTTACAGAACCAACAACTCCGTCATCGAGTATACCGATGCGGGAAGTGAGAGAGGTGTGGTATTAAAAAAGATAAGGACACACGGAGTAAGGTGCGCATTGAAGACGATAATTATCAAGGAAAGTCGATGGAAGGTGACACATATGTTGATAAAAGGACGGCGTTTGCGTTAAGTCTTGGACGTTATGATGGATAAGATCATCATGACTGTGAATGGTGGTCGTGATGCTCTCTACTGTTACTACCTGCCGAAGAGATCCACAGCCCTTTGGAAGGACAGTCTAACTTTAGTTCCGAGGGCATCGTAACGGTCCTCGAACCACTCGGGGAGTTGTATGATGTCGCCTGAATGTGGTGATGTGGCGGAGGAGTGGTATGATAATGATGATGGTGGTGATTGGATTATTACCGAATTGCTTCATCTCGGCCATAGCTGTATCCCTAGTGGAGTTATCTGGATAATGTGCACCAACGGTAAATAGTAATTTAATGCTTCGTAGACCAGCACGGTTATTCTGATGATGATGATTAGCATTAATACTATTACCACTACTACTACCTGCTCATGTCCTCTCAATTGCCGAGCCCATCCATCTCTAACAGCACACCTCCTCGAGAACTCCGTAATATGGCTTGGTATTACTATAACCAAATCCCAATCATACGCCTGTCCTCCATCACCCTTTAATATGGTATTCCCTTCAAAGGTGGACTGCTGTTGTTGCTCTTGTACAGCAACACAAAGATTGGTAAGTAATAATAGTAATAGAAACAAACGACTATGACAACCGACGAAGCGGTCAGCCATTGTGAGGAACAAAGGAACTACTTACGTATGCATGAGTTGTCTGCCGTTTTGTCTGTCGTAATTTGACTTTTCTAAGTATATCTTACGATGATACTTTATAATCGTCGGGTGTGCGTCAGTTCAGCGTTTTAACACGTGTATAAACGGCTCATTTCTCGTATTCGGCAACTTGTAATGGAGCGTTGTACCAGACCTTCTTGGTAGAGCCTACAGTAGATGACAAAAATGGCAATGCCCAGGCGTTTATTACCAGGGACTGGTGGACAGTAGGGAAACGACTGAGACCCATCTTGGGGCTGTGGCATATCTGCCCCGCCAGGAGATATTGATTGCACTGGGGCATATTTAGGGGCTGTGGCATATCTACCCCGCCAGGAGAGAACACTGAGGCATATCGTGGGGTTGTGGCATATCGGCCTCGCCAGGAGAAATTCATTGCATTGAAGCATATCTTGAGGTTGTGGCATATCCGTCCCGCCAGGAGAAGTTGAATGCACTGGGGCATATTTTGGGGTTGCGACATGTTCACCCCGCGAGGAGGAATTGATTGCCTTGAGGCATATCTTGGGGCTGTGGCATATCCGCCCCGCCAAGAGAAATTGATTGCATTGAGGCATATCCAACACACCAGTGGGCAACACACCAGTGGGCAACACACCAGTGGGTGCGGGATGAAAGAATAACTAACAATAACAGTTCATACCAATTGACATACTTAACTCCAACTCACTCAGCCACGAAACATCACATCCGGCATTAATAGAACCCGAAGTGCAATAATAGGACCGATGAGGCAGTACAATGCTTGGGCTGGAAGTTCATTGCAATGGCTATTTCTCAGAAGGAGGTCCAGTTATCCTGCCGACAGAACATGAAGCTCCAGTTCTCTAACTCTCGTTTTGGATGTTCTTAGATCTTTCTGTTAGATTATACAGTACTACTACAATTATGATTTATTCTCTTCGTTCTGAACTTGGGACCAGGTTGTGTGCCCAGTCATCGAGCGTGAGTGTCTCAACAGAAGTTATTCATAGACATCAGAAACATCTCACAATATCTTTCCGCTAATGGGTTGCTAACCGGCTTACAAGAGTGGATCCTGCGAGGTGCCGATGACCGATCCTGAACCGCAGCTACCTATCTTATCAGCGGTATACGCTTGTGTGCTGGAACACAATAAGTGTACTAGCGTAAGGATATAATAGGAAAACTGCCATCGATGAATAGGGCACTCGCGAGGGGGGAAGAAGTCACGTTTGTCCTGATTGCAGTTTTAACAGGGGTTGGATCCCCTATTCGTTGACAGTCACTATGAATATGATGACATCTCCGAGAATGGTAGATGAGAGCGGCAATGAAGAAGTCTCAGTAGATGATCTTGTCGTGTCAATGACATGTACACCAACATCTGAGCGCGATATGTATGCCGATGATGTGAAGGGCAAGGCTAGTGGGAGTGTTTTGGACACCAGAGAAGAGTTGATCAAAGAGGAAGGCTCTTCTACTGGTGGTTCAACAGGGTTCCTCTCGCCTGGTTCGGCTGGCACAGCAACTATTGCCGTCATAAAGGCAACTCTGGGAGCTGCGGCTCTTTCGTGTACTTATGCGATGGTCAATGGTGGTTTTATCTTCGGCATCCTTCTACTAATCATGATGGCTGTGTTGATGGTGTTTTCATTAGAAATGATTGTTACTGCAATGGAAGTTACTGGTAGAACTTCCTATGCAGCACTCGTGCCTTATTTATTCAGTAACGCGATTGGTTATTGGTTCCAAGCCCCTATTATGATCTTTTGCATTGGGGGAGGGAGTAGTTATCTCATCACAGTAACAGATATCTTATCTTCCCTCTTCGCTGCTGTAGTGGGACCGGACGATACCTGGTATGGAAACTTGCTCACTAAGCGTGTCTATCTCTCGCTCATAGTTTTAGTGTTGATCCTGTATCCCATCTCTCTAGTGAGAAGGATGAGCTCGTTAAGATACTTAACTCTGGTGTCCATTTTCGGTATTTTCTATTTGGGTTTCGTAGGAATCTTTCTGCTCTCTACGAAAGGTCTGTCGTCAGATTTTGCCAACGGCAGTGTAAACTTCTACGCTCCTACCGGTTGGGTCTCCTGTCTAGGAGCTGCTAATACTTTCATCTTCGCCTTCTGTAATCAGTGTAACATTCCTGATATTTATATGGAGATGAGCGATAGAAGTCCAAGAAAGTTTCGTATTGTTGCGGCTTGGGCATCTTCTGTTTGCCTCCTCGTTTATCTACTCATTTCACTTTGTTTTACTCTTGTCTATGGCGGTGATGTAGATAGTAGTATTATACTAAACTTGAATGAATTCATTCCCGAAGGCAATGTGATTGTCATAATCGGTCTCATACTTTCGGCTGTTGCTTATATCGGAACGTATCCTTTCACAGTGTACCCGGTTAGAGTAGCTGTCGTGACTATTCTAAAGCCCAAACGACCTGAGTTCGTTGGAGTCATTACTGTTACTGTAGTTGTTATACTCACGTATATCATTGCTGCGTGTTTGCCTGATATATCAATCCTTCTAGGAGTTGTTGGTGCCATATCGGGCTCGATTCTATGCTTCCTGGCGCCTGGTGGTTTTAATGTAGCAATATCAAAGAGTAAGAGGTTATTTGCACCAGAGAATGCTAAATACACCAGTATATTTATGTTTGGATGTTTCACCTTGGTTGTCGGTACGTCTGTTGCTGCATTTCAAGTAGTAGATTACTACTTGCCATGATAACGTAGATGTGTAGCGGAGTGTCTTTCTCTCCTCTCTCAAATATGTCAATACTGAAAGTCTTGGTTCTCTCTTGTTCAGCGAATGTCTGGTCATCATCTTTGAAGCTCGTAAGGCGCTGCTATCGACCACTCTTGTTGAGTCTGTTCGCCGAATGTTATTTTATAAGTGAGGCTGAGATGCCCTGATTGAAAGCTCCACAGAAGATAGAGCTATCAAAGCTGTGGATGTATTTGTTGAAGTAGTTATAATGAGGATCTTATTCTGTTCGTTATGGTTTTGTCAGCTTAATTAGGGAAGGTTGATTTGTGTAGTTAATTCGGTTTTACTCTATTCACATCGATGACGGTGGCATGACACTACAATTTGGTCCAAGTTAAAATAGGGGACTGTTTGCCCTTCTGAAAACCTGCAAGACTGAATCAGTCTTCCTTTCTTGGGGCAAGGTCACATTGAGCATCTGGGCATTCGACTCATCTTTGTAACGATTCATCATTCATGATACTTACGGTACTGGATTGCTGGACTCGATCGGCCAGCGATAACGCATACTCCGTTCTAAACCTATCATCTTTTTAGTAGGTATGGATCCAACGAGTGTCCTCATCATGTCCAATCTGAACCTTCTCGTAAGATCTGGTCTTACCGAGTAGCTTTTATTTACAACCGACGCAGTTGACTTCAGTGGGTAATACACAGTGTGTGGAGCTACGCGCACGGGGCCCGTGCCACGGGCCCTCCGGGTTCCAAGTCAATCACGAAGAGTTGTGGAGGGGTAGCACGGGTAGGCAATATTCTCCTTTAGCTAGTAGCATCTCTGGCAGGGTTATCTCGCATTCCAACGTATGCACAAGCGGGGAAGAAGTGTTGCGAATCTTAGTCAACGGTCGCGACTTGCATTCCCTCATCCAGCGCACCTACGAAGTCCACAGCTTGTGAAGCACAGGCATTTAGAGCGCACTGTCTGACTGCGGTGCTCTGCTTGTCGTGCGCAAGGTCTTGAGAACGGAGAGTAGGGTGAATTGGGGAGGCAATGTCTACTCATGGTCGTCTGCAGTCTGCAGACGAAATCCGTCCGTCATATTCAATATGAGTAGAGACATGCTTCGCCCTTGAAAAAAGTCTTTCCAATGGAGCGGTGGTCGCGCATATGCTAACCATAGAGTAGATGAACGCCGCAACAGTGCATTTTCCCTGATGTCGACTCCAAAATTATGGGAGATCGATGCGATGCAAAACCAGCTTTCCGTCGATCCTTGAAGTCACCTGGCAGCGATCCATCAACGACAAAGTCGACTACGTATATAATCGAGACACTCCACATCAATTCTTCACTCACCTTCAGCGCGGAAGGAATGCGAGAGAGTGCCCATACTGAGCGTTATTATGTCTGGATATCTGCTGCAATAATTACGTATTCCGCTCACTGCTTCCGAAATTAGTGCATTTTGTTGCTTCACAGGAGTCCAACTGCTCATATCATAATAATAGAACCCATTCCGAGCCATTGAGCGCCTTATCTGGGCGATGACGAACTTGATCACGCGATGTCTAAGACATGCGAGAGTCGGGGAGTGATAGTAAGGACTTGTAGGTATCCCTTAAAGTTCTCAGTCTACCCCAAAACGTAGTGGAATCAGCCTGAAAATAATTTCTCGCCTTTCGGGCATTCCAGGCTGCTGTCTAACTTTTTCTCTCTCAGCTTCTTTAGTAGTCTCCCCCCTCATAGGGCATTTGCCATATCTCCACGCTTTCTGCGAGTAATCGTGATTGTTCTGCCCCATGATCAAGGGGAGTCGACAGTATGGACAACGCCGTTGCTTGTCTTTAACGATCTTTGCATCTTTCTTCTCTTTCTCTTCATTCTCTGGGGTTCCCTCTCAGCTGAGCTACGGCTCTGATTGAGAATCTTCAGCCTCAATTCATCGAACTCCTGGAGACACACTCTCGTGAGCCTACTGCCGCTACCGCCATGCATATGTTTAATCAAGTCAGACTGACCAATAACTTCTACTTGAAGACGTGTTTACTTAGATGACCTCGTCCAAACTGTCTGCCCAACGAAGAATGTGGTCCTTCTGCGATATTATTGGTACGGTGAGAGCTATGGGCAGCACCTGTGTATAGGGCCGGTAGTAGTATTAGCATTGTTATTTCCACTTGAAAATATGAATATGGGGTAGTAAAGCAATCCATGAACATACACTTACTTGTCCAAGCAGCTTCTCGCAACAATGTACGATTGTAACCGGCCAGGGCCATAAGAAGACTCTCGTTGAGCCCTACTCGGTGCGCCGCCACTTGTAGTCGCGCTGACGGTGATTTTGATGGTTATTGTACCAACGCTTTGGCATACGGAAAGAAGTTGAGAGAGCCCTGAACTGAAAAGCAAATGTAAAATGAACGATAACCGAATATAAAAGTGATATGGTGGGGTCAGTTGTCAATTGCTGCGCTGCGCACCATGCGCTGAACTTCCGCGCACGGTGCGCCGCTTGGCGGCTGAAGCTGGGTGAAGCTTGGGAAGTACTCTATTGAGTTGTGAAGATTATCTGGTTTACTGTTATAGTTTTCAGGGTTGTGGGATTTCTCGCCTGCTACCAGCAAATCACTTCCCTGTTCGGGTTTCGGGTCCTGACTCGCGTCAACTGTCAACTGTGATTGTCAGTTCCTGGGCGTAGCGAGATTTCCAATCGTCGAACTACGATGAAATGTGTTCAGATGCTGCTTCTGCCTCTGATGGACGAGTAAGTGTCGAAATATTCTGTCCGAATGTTTGTGTTGATAGGTTTTGATAGCTTTCTGACATGATCGCTATGTGGTCTTATTTTTGTTAAAACGAGTACTTACGAGCCGCTTTAGGACAAGGCGTCGTAAACGTTGACATTGTAGATAAAATGGGACATTGGACCTCCACAGATAACGGAACTGAGCAGCAAGGAAGCGAATATACTTCCAATGATAATAGTCACTAGGATATACAATGTATATTATACATACGGCATGTTCAATAGACTTCTCCTGATTCTTAAGAGCGCTCTCGTAATCAAGTTTTACATGTAGAGTCCAACCTTGGGAGCGCTTCTGAAACTCAGGAGAGGTCCATTGAACACCCCGATAGGTTCACAGATAGAGAATGTGATCGGCGTATGTTAGGAGTATCTTGGGATATCCGAAACGGCGACCAGCGGAGCGGTATAGTTCATGATACGCCATTATTGTGACTTGTCATCGATCTATATCATAAACATAGTCTATATCACATTTGTCGGGATAGTTTTGGATATTTTTATGTCTGAAGGTTACACAATCGGATTAGTCAGAGGTCACGCAAAGAAATCGCAGGTGCCGGAATCGAGCCCTTGTCGAGCTGATAAAGGGCAGTAATAAAATATCAAACACTTGTTGGCGTCAGACAAGAAGGGTGTTTTAAATGACGATCATGAGTGGTCCGAGAGAGTTGAACAGCTTATGGCATGCCTGATGACCAGTCGTGATAGTCTACTCGCCCGCCCTAGAGAAACGCTGCGAAGCCGTGATAATTCGTTATATATTATGAGTATGAGTATTATTGCTAATTCAGTGACTGCATGTACACTCCGTAGGCATCTGGCTCAAGACTCGAGTATTCTCTTTGCTTTGGCGAGTAGCGTTGGGCAGTCTGAGCATGCGGAAACCTCACGGACGAACGTGCCTCAACATTAGGTTGAGGTGGGATCGGACGGCTCAACGAGACAGTAACTCCATGAAGGGGTCATCGTAGTACATTTTTGGCTTATAATGTCGTCTACTCCTCCCAACGAGGCTGACACACCCCCACGAGGCGATGTGGCAGAGGGAGGAAACCCACAGCCTATGAAGGAGTCGGAGGGGCGGAGTTTAATGTCGTTGAAAATGCGGATAGCTAGCGGGGGAAAGAACGCCTCGAGGGACCAGCTCGACTTCGTCAAAACAGTCGATGGGGTAATTCGGGTTCGGACCGTTCGCTCATGGGGAGGCGGTTTTCACCACTTGTATTATAGGAGAGACAGATCATTGTATTGGATGTTAATATCGATCGTATCGAGCATTCAATAGTACAGGATCGTTGTTGCCAACGATCGTCTCTATGAACCCTGGACCCCTGTGAGTTTCAGTGCAACATACTCGAATTAGTAGTTGCTTCAGTCTCGTCTACCTTGAATGGTTGCTCGGTTAATACTACGACGTCTTTGTGTGCTTATGTGTCTTCGAAAGATGTGCTTCGTCGAAAGATTGTGTCAGAAGATTCCCCGGAAGGTCATTCACAGTTATTCGACTCCGGGTTGCTTACGCTCATTCAAAGATGAATACTCTCTCAGGATCTCACTCTAGCCGAGGCTGAATGCGACCTTTTGAAGGAAGAGAACTTCGTCGAAGGTGGCAACACGAGAGCCACATGGATAGTGGCTGGTACAGCATCGGCTTCTTTACTGCTGGGATGCCATCAACTCTGGGCTGTGGTGGCGATGATCAGGTTCGCTGTTGCCGCGAGACGTTCCACTGAAAGATATTGAGAAGCTGAATCGATCCGATGATGTGGTGGTTCAAGTGTGAGGAAAGATACCTCTCGATGGAGGCTGTCACAGGGCTCGTTAGGTTCCTCCAGACATCGCAAGCATCTGGGGACTCCGACGATAGCACTACTGGTAGGAGTGGAAACAACACTGTTAACTTGGACAGAATGGACACCTTCGAGGACAGCGTCTCCATATTCGCATATGCTGTAAGCCGTTCGAAGAAATTGGTCTAATCGATAGTCGTTGATGTTATCCACATGGCGATCATGGTTCGATGCGAGGGTTAGACATTTTAGGTATCGGGGTTAGGCATCGCCTTCACTTGGAAATATCTCTTCTATAGCGAAGCAGCTCATACCGATGGGAGTACAACCCTACTCCAAAGCCTCACTCGCCTCTGCGTATATGCGTAAGCACTTGGGGAGCGGGATCGACTCTTTCGTACTGACGAGGTTAAGTGAGTTCAGTAGCGGTATTCTCTCCCAGTGATTACGGTAATGCTCACTACTATTGGTAGATTCACACTGCTGTGGATAGCCACAGTATTTGGAGTCCTCTTTCGGAATCTTCCACTGAGAAATGCTCCGACTTACACCAGTCCAGAGGCACCTAGTACGGGCACCACTGAGGGAGTAGAGCAGCCAGCGG